ATAAGAGATTTTAGGAAAAATTATAATCAATTTATTGATTATAATTTATTATGATGTCAGAAAAATGTTATAATTATAATGGATTATAAATCGCTTAAACATCTAAATTTGGCGCCAAAAACTCATTATAACTTTGACGAAAGTACAATTATAATTGCCATAAAAGCAATTATTCTCTCGTCTTACTGATTGCGGGGTTCTACTGCTTATCCAAAACAATTTGCCGAAACAAGCAAATTACTGCTTTTAAAAATTCGCGTTGAATTTAAAAATGGGTAAGCAATTGTCCTTGATTCGGGGACTAGGAAATTAGACAAGCTAAGTAGACGTGACCAGAAAAAATGAAATTAGAACTACAATTATGGGAAATTAGACGACATTGTATTGTTCGTGTCTGAAATTTTTTACTGACTACAATTAACTTTCGTTTAATCTTGCTAAAATGGAAGTCAATTTTTGAAATGAGGCAATTGTATAATTTATGAATTTCAAAAATTGTTCATAATATTTGGATTCAAGTTTTATAACTTTTTTAAAATAAAATTTTTGATATGCGATGGGTTTATGTACTTGTGAAGTTTTGTTTTATGCAGTAAATTTTGTGGGCCCTTTGCTTTCCGTCTTTGCTATCCGTCTAAAATAGGTTTGCAAAAAAATTTTGACGTCTAAATTCCGTTTTACTGGAGCCGTTTAATTTGCTTATCGACTAACCCCTCCTGGATTTACATAAAGAAGAGTGCTTTTTGCCGCATACATATGTATAGTGTGAGTTTGCGACGCCAACTTCGAGAAAGACATTTTAGGTTATGTAGTTAATTATTGGTTTTTAAAAAAAATTGTGCGGACTAAATCGTTTATTTTATTAGATGAACAGATTTACTACACTGTAGAATGCTGTATTTGAAGCTCTCCCCACTCCTTGTTTTCAGAATCAATTGATAAAATAGGAATGCCGCAAAAAAAAGATGAATTGACTTTCAGAGGAGGACATCCGTTTTTAAAAATGAGCCGACTTTCACCTCACAAAACAGCGTCAATCATAAGAAAAATCACGAGGACTTCTGAAATTGATTGAGGAAAATCAAAAAATGAGAACAAAATACGTTTTTTAAGCTTTGATAATATATACAATCATGTTCTTGTGTTAGTAAAAGTTTTTGTAAGCTGTTTACTGTCTGTTGACTATGTTTTTATTGCCCAATTCAAATAAGAAAAAAATTCACGCACAAATAGATGTTGTTCATTACTATTTTCAAGACACATTCTCTCTCTCTCTCTCTCTCTTTAAAAAAATATGTATTTTGCAGACGTCCTTGTGAGGCTAATTATGAGCAACCAAAAAATTTGGTGCATTCTTGATCTTAAAAAATTACAGAAAAATGTAAGGAGCAAAAAATAAGGTAAAACATAGCCAACAGACAGTTGGAACAGAGTCAATGAACGCACGAAAACAGAAAAATTTTTTAACTTGTTTTTTAAAATAACCTCAATTTTAACCTCAATAACCTTTAAAAAACCTCAAGAAAAAAATAGATGCCACTAAATCTTTCTGATTTACAAAAACAATACGCAAAAACTTATCTTTTTTTGATGAAAATAAATATTGAGAAACATGGATTAGTAACTAAGATCTTTGCTCTGCTGGGAAACCTAAAAATCAAAATCCACTTTCGAAACTAGAAGTAACAAAGCAAATGAACTGAAAAACCATCAAGACCTATATAAGTGTATTCATTGTGTAAGCAAGGTGGTATACATAACTCGATAACTTAGCCGACATTTTCCCAATGTTGATCCGAAAAATAATTAGCATAATTATGCTGTAAATATACATACAATTAGATTTCTAGATGTAACATTTACCAGCAGTGATATTACTAGCCGCTAGTTGAATTTGAATTTTCAAAATGAAAAAAAAAACAGCGCAAGTATCACACAAGATAGCAGTGATGTCTAAAAGAGACATAAATTACAGAAATGCCATAAGATTACTAAGACTCAAAACTATATTTCTGCAAGATTGCGAACTCAGAAGAAATAGTCACCTGTATTAACCATTCGGCCAATAGCATTGATTTGACCACTCTTTTTTCTCAAATATCTGGGTGCAAAAATGCGCTGTGACAAATATAACTAGATCATATACTGCGCAATTAACAGAAAAGTTGCAGAAAATGTGCATTTTCATTTGCCAAAAAAATCTGACCGTGTAACACTATCTAAGCAATTTAGCTTGTGTACAACTGGTAATTGTAATTTTTTTATGCACAGGTAAATCACAGGTTCGCACTACTCTTGATTCGTAACAAACAAAGCCGACAATACTCAGGTAGACGCCCATTGAGCAGAAAACTAAAGTGTCACAAAACATTACGCTAGAGAGCTTTGAAAATTTTGCATCGCTCTACCCTGAAACACCCTCTAATTGAACCAATATTATCACTCTAAATGACGAAAAACGTTTTTATCATTCCGACCATAACCATTTCGAGGAAAATGCAAACACTTGCGAGGAAAATGCAAAAAAGCGCTCTGAACGGGCAATCAAAGTGAAAAAAAAAGAAAAGCTGAAGTCACCTTGACTAAAATTTTTGTTCAGATCAGGATTATCAATTTCTCACATCTGCTCCACTACCACTTGTAATTTTATTGATAAACTTACAAAAAAGGTTGGTGCTAATACACTACGCTGCTGGCTAGTGTAGAAAGGAGAAACTTAGAATTCGAGCGTTTGTTTTTCTTTTGTTCTCTCAATAACCATAAAAATTCATCAGAATTGTCTAGGTAATACATCATGATTAAGCTGTTTCAGACGTAATTCGAACATAAAAAATTTCAAAATGTTAACCCCGTATAAGTTCGAGCAAATAAAGCTAGCAAGCAGGCTTACAAAAACTTATTTATGCTAAATTTAATTCGTAAAAATTTTAATTTTTCATCGTTTTTCTGGTCACTGTTTTACAATGATGTCCATTTTGCTGATTTCAAGATGAACGTCGAATATGCTCAAATTCCAACTTTTCGTTCAGATCCTTTTATCACACCATGCAGAAAAAAACACCAATTTGAAAAAAAACTATCCGAGATAGCTTTGTAGCTTTTGTAGGGGGTTGTCTATTGCAATACTCCTCAATCAAAAATATAACCCTTAGCAGTAACTAGGGATAGAAAGCTAGAAGTATTTTTGACTGGATACTCTTTTAATTTGGAAAACTAAAGCTTCAAAAATTTGAATTTATTCAATTGTTTTTGCATCATTAACATAACTTGGTTTCACTTACTTGGTTTCAAACTGAACTTTTTTATACGTTATCAACTGTCTGAGGAAAAATGAGGTTTTGATCAGCTGCAGATTTTCAACAAGTGTTGAATATCTACAGGCTAACCATGAACACTGAAGCAATTCAACTCTTAAAATTTGTCTGAAACATATCTAAAAGTATTCTTATATATAATAAGTTGCAAAAAATTCGGATAGACAAAACTATTTAAAACGAGCAATCTGCACGCAATTTTGAGGCGTAAATTTTGTTGGAACAAACAGCTTCTCTGCAAAATTTTCCGAAATTGTTCATTTGCACTTTTTAATTAGTTTTTCTATCCGCAATTCATTATTCAAACCCAAATGCTTAAGCAGCAGCATAATTGTTATGACTTCACATGAATCGCAAGGTTACAGTACTAAGCTGTTTTAAAGCATATGTAGATTTGACAATTTGATGTGATAAAAACCGCTTTGGTCACCTCAAAGAGATTATTAACGAAATATCACACTGATGATTCCCAAGAACAAACTTTTTCATTTGTATTAAAAAAAACGTTTTGTTGTAGCCCAAAAGGCCTACAAAACTTCCTTACCCACGCGTTAAATCAAAACTGTTCTTGAGATATGATTCAAATAGCCACAATAACAACACCGCTGATTAAGAATAAGAATTGGTCAAAAATGACACACAATTGAGATGCGGGAAAGAATATTTCAGGTTTCAGTTACCGTGAAATTAGCGAGTCTTAGTAGTCTTTTCCCTGTTGCCATTGTAAGCATGTGCGTCCTTGTGTGATTTCCTAGTGCGAATCCTTTGTACATAGTGCTGCAATAAGACTCAACAATTGGTAATAAAACAACTGTTGATTGTTATTAGTATTAGTAGTTTGGAGAGATCACGCGCACGTGGGGGGGGGGGGGGGGGTTGTTTGGCGAGGGCGCGGGTTGGAGCAAGAGTAAAATGTCAAAAATAGTTTTTCGTCCATAACCACGAAATAAGTTTTTGATTCTGAGCCACTTTGTTTTTTGGTCCATAACCATAAAAATGTAAGTGGCTCAGAATCAAAAACTTATTTCGTGGTTATGGACGAAAAACTATTTTTGCATATTGCTCTTGCTCCAACCCGCGCCCTCGCTCACCCCCTCCCCCCCCCCCCCCCCCCCACCCCTGAGTGATCTCCTTAAACTACTACTACTACTACTACTACTATTATTGCACAACTATGCACGAAGATATTTCACTTGGAAATCGCACAAGAGTTCAGTTGCGAACAAAGGTTTCCACATCCACAGGTACACACCAAATGAAAACTCGCGAATTTCGTCCAAAAATTGAATATCAGATTGTGAAAAAAAATTAGCAAAACAAGAAAGTAATTGTCAAAATTGTTATAATTATTCGAAATAGCTTTTTTTTCAATTCTGATATTTTGATTTGCAAAAAAAACGTTCGAATTGAGAACATCAATTCAAAAGAGCAATCAGCCAAATCTGAGCAAATTTTGCAAAAAAAATCTGAAATAGTACATTTGCTCTTTTTAATGGATTCTGACAATTCGAACTTTTTGCAATTTAATATATGCTTTAGTTTAATATGCAGTCCGCTTCATCTCAATTAATAATCGATCTCTTAGAAACTAAATTTGAAACGAAAATATAAAAGAAAAGAAATAACTCAACAGCTGTCTGGTTTTTCAATATTTATACAACTAGAGAGTTTTGTTTAAGAAATATGCAAATGATAAAATTTCAATTCAAAAAATTTCTATTCTATCTTTTTAACTCTCCAAGCTGCTATTTTGCATGTTTTTTTTCTATGATTAATAATCGCTACTCACAAAAAACTGTAAAGAAAATCAGGCTCATAATCAGGGTCAAAGGGTTCAATCAGTAACCTGCTTTGGTTTCAGGCAGGACACGTTCACAAGCAACGAGCAATTGAGTTCCAAGCTCAATGTTCAGACTCTTTCAAGGTTTCTCTTCAAATTTTTTGTACAGATTCACATTTCTAGATAAGCAGTAAAGGCCGAAACATTTTGAATGCCTAAGGAATATTCGCAGCAAAATTGAAATTTGTTTCAAAAACTCCTGGAAATCTGTAAAACGTTGGCCAAAAATTAGCCAGATCCGTCCGAAGTCGGATACAATTTTGGGCAATTCTATATATAATTTTTTCGAACATTAATCTTGGAACTACTCGGGAATCGAACTATTTTTCTGATGAGAAAACGAAGGGGCGCCAAAACTACACTTCGGAAACGCAGAGGACAGTTCATTGCTGGTCTTCAGCGAACTACTAAAGGAGTTTTTATTCGTGTTTGCCTTCTTGAACGCCGAGCAAAACGGGTTGTAGTTTGTCGGCATAATTGGGGCCGAGGCAATGTTCTCGAAGCGCGACGCTCCTTCGCGAGGCACTGCGGAAGCTGCTACATTTATTTTCAGGGGCAGTAACATCTTCCTTTTGGCCGCAAATCCTGTGCTTTGCGCTTCGTTAGAATCCTTCTTTAAGTTCAGGGCATCGAGTTTTAGGTTCTGAAGTTGCACTTTGGTACGTGCAGAACTCCCCGCTAAAGGAACATGGGGTGGGGGTTGTTTGATTTCCATAATGACAGGTGATGAAGGGCTGCTTTTCGAGACGTTCTTCTTCTTGGCTTTCAGGTGGTCATCATACTTCATGAGTTGAGCTACAAAACTGATGTTTGGTGCAACTATACTGCGCTTCTGCTTCAGTTCCCTAAAAAAAGATGTTTTTGAAACCTATTTATAAGAACAAACAAGAGTATCAACTTAATGTTCTTCAATAAATTTTTACAAGAAAGGTTAAACTTCATAACTGGTTTATTATTTTGCTCACATGATTCAAAAACCAGTTAATTTAAGATCCGGATGTGATGTCATTATTATGCATTTATGCACATTGTTAAATGCAAGTTATGCAGCTCAAAATGCAGATAATTTATGCAAATATGATGTAATATATTATATAACTTTGGGTTGAAAGCATGGCGACTTGTTGAACTTTCCCGGTTTGCTACGAGAAGGAGCAAGAATCTATTCGATTGCATCATGATTACGTAACTTTATTTTTAAGTCTGGTTGAATCACGTGAAAACATACCACCATCAGGCGCTTTATTTGTTACCAATTGAACTTATATTAAAACTGCGACGGTAAAATAACTGATGGTATGGTAAATTTTGAGAGCCGCTGCGCATCACGGCTGCTACATTAGAATGAGCAAATATGCTTCACAATAACAAAATCTTTTAAAATTGTAAATATCTCAAAAAGACAAGCGACTACAACCTTTGCTTGCTTAATCTTAATTGGACGAAGTTGATATGAAATTGACCGAAGACCACATACATTGAAATCATACTAGAACAAATATAAATGTTGTTCTGCCAATACCAGTTCCTATTTTTTACCTTAAGGATAGATAATTTGGTTGGATTTGAGTGATCAAAATTCGATGTATCGAATTTACAGACAACTTTTTCATGGTAAAAAGAATTGCAGGGAAAACATCAGATTTTTTTTCAGATTGAAGCCAATAGACAGTCGGGAAAGTGTTAATGAGACCGAGGAATTCGTTTCTTTTTTTGCCGAAACGGATATGCATCCCCTTGAAATTCAAGAATCTTGAATTATTGACAATTTTTGAAACAAACGAGTCCAATTTGAAAAATGTATCAATGCGTAGTTTTATTGTGCTAAGAAATCTTAAAACTTTAGTTTGAAAACTTTTGCAACTAGTTTGAAGCAGCTGTAGAAGGCCAAGTCAGATTCCAATTGTGCCGCTATTTGCCCTTTTGCTTACGGAAAAAGCATTTACTTTGAACAGGGATAGCCAGTTTTTGAACATTTAGCTATCCAAGATAGCAATTTTTTACACCGAGGCGAAGCTGAGCTTCGCACCACTTGCGATGCAAAATCAAGTCTGAAAAAAAAAATCAAAAATGTCGAAAAAAAATTGATCTATCAAAACGAATTAGACTAGTTTTGAAAAAAAAAACGCCCAGACAATAAAATGTGGAATTAGCATCAGAGGAAAATTTACCAAGCGGTAACAAAGTAAAAACAAAACCTAATCAGAAATCATTTAGGCCAAAAATAATCAAGACTTAAGTCTTCTAAAAAGTTAATAAGTCCCACTCACCCTCCCTCAAACACACAAAGAAAGCCGAAATAAGCAAAAAAAAAAGGACAAGTAAAAAGTTATTAAGTCCCCTTCACCCTCAAAACAAATGCACATTAAAACAATTTTGGCTGGTCAAAAGACGCAATATGAGGCCAGTATGCCGATTTAATGAGCCGAAACCTATCAAGCGGGAAAAAAACAACAAAAAAAGAAAATTAGAAGTGAAGGTTAGTAAAATTACAAACAGCAGAAAAAATTAAAGCGCTAACAGCAACTACAATTTAAATTGTGCTCAATAAAAAAAACAATTCTACGATGTGGCAACTAAGCCGACAAAACATAAGCAGACAATACTAAGCCGACATATTTTTTAGAAATGCAGTATGTACCGTTTGATAAAAAGGTCCTGTCAAATTCGATCCCAGGACCTTTGCCGTCCCAGGCATTATCAATACCTCCAAACCAAGTCATTATCAATACCTCCAAACCAAGTCTGCCGGAAAGGCAGAGAAAATTTGAATTTATCATCAACTGAACCTAAATCTATCATTTCTGATTTTGACCATTCTGTGAACAAAGTTATTACGGGATAGAAGTCTAGTACCCGATTGCAATACCCTTGCTTATCGTACGGATAAATATGATTCATTTTTAAAGTTCGTAGCAAAAAATTAACATGTTCGAGCTCTTCAATTTTGAAAAAAAAATTTTTTGATGGACAGTTCAAAAAACAAGCTCAGTGAAAACACTAGATCAAGAGGTTTTTTCCATTCAGCTGGGATTCTGAATATTCAAATTCATGTTCGAAAATTCAGTCACCCAGGCTTCTTCGCGCTATTTGCACTTTTTAGACAGTGTTAGGTGCCTTCCTATGAGCAAAATAATTTGAACTGAACTTGAACACAAAACAGAAGTGGAAAAGCAAAAAAAATCAAATTTGAGTCAAAACCATTTTGAAGATTTTCCTGAAAAAAAACAAATAGGCACAATCTAGAAAACTGAAGACTTCGCTGAGATTTTGAACACAGTCGAAGCTCCACATATACAAGCTAAAAAATTATCGGCAATAACTATTGCTGCTGATTTGATGAAGTTTAATTGTCGAAAAGAAACATAGCCAGCAGACAGTTGGAAAAGAATCAAGGAACACAAGAAAACTATGAATTATTTTATGGAAACAAATAACTTTCAAATTTCAAAGAAAAAAAATATGTCCTTATAGCTATTTGAATTTTCAAAGGCAATTTATTATTGACAATTTTTAAATATAATTAACTCAATTTAAGAAATCTGAATCAAAAGGTAAAATTTTTCGGCAGGTAAATCTGAAAGTTGAAATCCACTTTTGAAATTAGTAGTCGATCAAGTAATTTGGTGACCCTTGAACTTTTGCTGTTCAAAAGTGGCGTTTGCCATCCTTTCAACAAAAAATTAACTAAACTTAGAAAAAATCAAAATTCAAACCGCGAGAAATCAAAATTGAGCGAAACCAAACTTTTAAATTCCTGAAAAAAAAAACATCACGACCACTTTAACAATCTTCAGTCCCTTCATCGACTCTTAAACATCTGGGCCCGCTCAGCACCGCGCACTGCAGAGCATCAACTTCAAAAAGCCGAGTGCCACCAATATTAAACCAGCTATCAAAATTAACAGAGCGCTCAAAAAGTCGACAACAGATGATTAGACGTCCATTGTGCCGAAAACAAATAATTGTCATAAAAAACTGTCATACAAAAATTTGAAACTGTAAGTTTTAAAACTTGCAACAAACTACCAAAAATGAATAATTTTATGCCTTTGAAGCAACAAAGAAATAAAGTTATTAAGCCGATAAAACATAGGCGGAAACCATTTCAGCAGAAGAAAGCTTTTGAGCTCAAAAAAAAACGAAAGACAACCAAGGAAAAAATACGTCAAGAGTATTGATTTCTAAATACAGGAGTAAATTAGAAACACTTGCATCTCTACGATGAAAATTGCCAACAGCTTAAAAAAATTGCCAACAGCTTAAGAAAACTACCCGATTTGGCAACTAAGCTGACAAAACATAAGCAGGTAAACAAAATTCCGACCAAATTCCCAACTTTTTTTTTTCAATTTCTTACATACTTAAAGTTATTTGAATTTTCAAAGGCAATTTATTATTGACAATTTTTAAATATAATTAACTCAATTTAAGAAATCTGAATCAAAAGGTAAAATTTTTCGGCAGGTAAATCTGAAAGTTGAAATCCACTTTTGAAATTAGTAGTCGATCAAGTAATTTGGTGACCCTTGAACTTTTGCTGTTCAAAAGTGGCGTTTGCCATCCTTTCAACAAAAAATTAACTAAACTTAGAAAAAATCAAAATTCAAACCGCGAGAAATCAAAATTGAGCGAAACCAAACTTTTAAATTCCTGAAAAAAAAAACATCACGACCACTTTAACAATCTTCAGTCCCTTCATCGACTCTTAAACATCTGGGCCCGCTCAGCACCGCGCACTGCAGAGCATCAACTTCAAAACGCCGAGTGCCACCAATATTAAACCAGCTATCAAAATTAACCGAGCGCTCAAAAAGTCGACAACAGATGATTAGACGTCCATTGTGCCGAAAACAAATAATTGTCATAAAAAACTGTCATAAAAAATTTTGAAACTGTAAGTTTTAAAACTTGCAACAAACTACCAAAAATGAATAATTTTATGCCTTTGAAGCAACAAAGAAATAAAGTTATTAAGCCGATAAAACATAGGCGGAAACCATTTCCGCAGAAGAAAGCTTTTGAGCTCAAAAAAAACGAAAGAAAACCAAGGAAAAAATACGTCAAGAGTATTGATTTCTAAATACAGGAGTAAATCAGAAACACTTGCATCTCTACGATGAAAATTGCCAACAGCTTAAAAAAATTGCCAACAGCTTAAGAAAACTACCCGATTTGGCAACTAAGCTGACAAAACATAAGCAGGTAAACAAAATTCCGACCAAATTCCCAACTTTTTTTTCAATTTCTTACATACTGAAAAAAAACAAGGTCCGACCGGGATTCAAACCCAACAACCTTAGAATTCTACTCATATCACCGCTATCGACAATGTGAAGATCTTTCAAGATAAACACAGAGGCCCACTTCGCAAGTTGCACTTTGCATACACAATCAAAAATATGACCGATAACGCTACTGGGAAAAACTGAATTAGTAAAACTTTGAGTCCACAAAATTCTCGAGTGACGCACACCAATTATGATTCAACATAATTGCTAAGTGACGCAAGCTATTATGACGCATTAGCAATATCAGTCAACTGAAAAAAAAAAAATTTACCAACTAACATGCCTCAATTTATAGAGCGGACGCATTTTAACTAGTATACGAAAAGGTTCATTAAAAATACCCGACCCTGCCCAGGTTCGAACCCTCTTAGTTTGTTGCGGGTCTCCCTCCCCACTTCTACGCTACAGATCCACTAGGGGCCCAGCTGAAAGCTGGAGAAACCTGTTTGATTATTTTAGTATTGATTATTTTAAAATTGTTTTAAAATTTCAGGTTTCTCAAGTCGATAGCTCCCTTCCTACGCAAAAAAGTGAAAGAGAAGCTTATGCATTCATTGGTAACGCTTTAGTAAAAAGTTTTCATGAGGGAACTTTTCAAGTCCATAGGTGTTTCCAAATCTGGACGGATAGTTTTTGAGGAAATCGGAAAGATTTGAAAAAAGGCCAAAAAAGTGACTTTTCCTAAGTCTATAGCTCTTCCCCTAGGCAAGTAAAGGACCAGCCGCTTGTGCGGGGGAGTTTCCTACAACCTGGTCTATCGATTAAACCCTTAATTCCAAATCTGGATGGGTAGTTTTTGAGGAAATCGATAATTTCCGAAAAAATAGGCAAAAAAAATCAAAAAAGTGACTTTTCCTAAGTCTATAGCTTTTCCCCTAAGCAAATTAGGGACCAACCGCTTGTGCATGGGGGGTTCCTACAACCTGGTCTATCGATTAAACCCTTAATCCCAAATCTGGACGGGTAGTTTTTGAGGAAATCGGAAAGATTTGAAAAAAGGCCAAAAAAGTCAAAAAAGTGACTTTTCCTAAGTCTATAGCTCTTCCCCTAGGCAAGTAAAGGACCAGCCGTTTGTGCAGGGGAGTTTCCTACAACCTGGTCTATCGATTAAACCCTTAATTCCAAATCTGGATGGGTAGTTTTTGAGGAAATCGATAATTTCCGAAAAAATAGGCAAAAACAATCAAAAAAGTGACTTTTCCTAAGTCTATAGCTTTTCCCCTAAGCAAATTAGGGACCAACCGCTTGTGCATGGGGATTCCTACAACCTGGTCTATCGATTAAACCCTTAATCCCAAATCTGGACGGGTAGTTTTTGAGGAAATCGGAAAGATTTGAAAAAAGACCAACAAAGTCAAAAAAGTGACTTTTCCTAAGTCTATAGCTCTTCCCCTAAGCAAATTAGGGACCAGCCGCTTGTGCATGGGGGGTTCCTACAACCTGGTCTATCGATAAAACCCTTAATCCCAAATCTGGACGGGTAGTTTTTGAGGAAATCGGAAAGATTTGAAAAAAAGCCAAAAAAAGTGACTTTTCCTAAGTCTATAGCTCTTCCCCTAGGCAAGTTAAGGACCAACCGCTTGTGCGGGTGAGTTTCCTACAACCTGGTCTATCGATTAAACCCTTAATTTTAAATCTGGACGGGTAGTTTTTGAGGAAATCGATAATTTCCGAAAAAATAGGCAAAAAATCAAAAAAGTGACTTTTCCTAAGTCTACAGCTCTTCCCCTAAGCAAATTAGGGACCAGCCGCTTGTGCATGGGAGTTTCCTACAACCTGGTCTATCGATTAAACCCTTAATCCCAAATCTGGACGGGTAGTTTTTGAGGAAATCGAAAATTTCCGAAAAAATGGGCAAAAAGTGAAAAAAGTACCGAGTTGTGAAGCTTTTCTAAGACCGTAGGGGGTGGGGTAGGGTAAAAATTGCCCTAAATTTCATGCAGGCAGGTAGGTAAAACGCTACTGAATCCATCATACCACTTTTATGAGAATCTGACGGGTAGTTTTTTGGGAAAGCGAATTTTTCGAAAAAGCGTCTCAAAAAAAAAAAAAAAAACAGATCTCATCTGGAAAAAAAAACGTTTTCATAATACCTGTTTAATAAATCAAACAGGAATTATACCTTGAAGCTAAAGTGCAATTTGTAATATAATAGTCTGTGTTATTATCCATGGCATTGGCTGTATTTAGAAGCTGGTTATTAATCAAAATGAACACTAATATTTGCGGCTTTGCTTGTGTACAGATACTATTCATTGTCATGATAAATAACGTCACTCTTTATTAGAATAACATGTAGTTACTATTTAATTTGATGCTTTTCAGCATATGTAGGGACATTATTGTATGTAATATATAGTCTTTTTTGTCTGCTTCTCTTGTCTCACCTGTAGCTGTCGTGGTAGGTGAGATTGTAGGCGTACATGAGGTATGCGATGGTGATGGCCGCACTCCGGGACACTCCGGCGTAACAGTGGATCAACACTTTGCCTCCCTTTTTCCCATTCTCTCCCCGAACTGCTTCGTCTGCATCAGACAAAACAACAACTTCGCTTACTAACTATCACTCATGCCAACCATTTCATTGCTCCCGTCATTCACTTTTCTAATTTTTTCAGGATTTTTTTGTAATTGCTAATAACGACAACAAAAAAACGGCGAATTTGTTAGATTATATAAACAGGCACCTATGAACTGAAAGGCATCGTCTAGTTTCCCAGCCAGTGACTGCTGCAGATTATCATCACACTGCAACTCCCTGTACTTGTACTTGCCCCTCCCACAGTCTGTCACGCCCTCTCCTCTGGAAGCAGTGCGACAGCAGTTCAGAATATGAGTGATGTTATGTCTGTCCAGCAGTTTGTCATTCTTCGCGTCATGCAAAGCTCCTGGAAACAAAAATAGTTGACTCCAATTTCGTGCGCATGAATCATTCAATTACAGAATGAACAGTCATTTTTTCCCGTAATATTATTTGACAACATCCATTTTAACCCAAACACAACAAACACGTAAGTTAGTTTTGAATATCGAAGAATACAATTTCTCAAGGGAAAACCTTTCGAACCTACACGAAAAATTTCATCGGAAAAATTATAACTTTTGCTTTATAACTTTATTACGGTTATGCTTTATTACTTATGCTGTCCAAAACAAATTTAGGAACGCCTCTCTTAAAAGACTCTTGGCACTTCTGTAAGTTAAATTATAAAAGCTATGACTCATACCTATGAATATGTTTTTCCTCACTTCCGTCGCCTCCCAATTGAGATAAGTGCTTTCATCATCGCCACTCACATTGGAAATGAAATATCTGGCCACGAAGGGAACTCCTTGGGTACAGTGGTTTGGATACGCTTTGCGGAAACTGTCGAAACCTCCTGAAATACAACACACCGAGCATGTACCCTGGTCTTTGTGAACTTATAGCGCAAAGCCAAATTCCATATTATGAACCAAATTATAAACATGACTTTTGTTAACTGATTGCAAGGGCGAATATATTCATTAATTGAGATGGTTGACAGATAAATTTAGAAAAATATCCCAAGATTTCATCACCCCTTACTTTAACTTAGCCAGATCTAATTTTGAAATTTTGGAAAAGTTGAAAAAAAAGTATGTAACGGTGTATTTTCAACTAACCACGACCGTTTTGGTTGTTCATGTTTTTCGAAATTTACCGAACATGACATGAATTTTGTTTAAAACTACTTTAATAAAGACAAAATCCTTTCACTAAGGAGTCTTTGCCTTCCGCAGACTTGAACAGTTCAAAATACCAAATAAGGCAACTACTAAAGTGGGAATAAGGCAACTTCGCAATACTTGTTGTGAATTCCATTTTGAACCACTTCGCGGGCAAATCTGGGCTTTGAAATCTACTATTCAACCCGTTCAACAAGCACGTGATGTAATTTAAACCCTCACTTTCCAACATTTACATAACTGAATAGCGCCCGTTCAGTTCCTAGAAGGATCATTTAGCCTAGCAAATGGCAATACATCTAGTTTTTCAAAACTGCCTCTAAACATAGGCCACGACATTTTTTGAGCATCTCTAAAACCGAACCGACTGATAATAAACATATTTTGTTTTCAGAGCTTAAAATATTTCAGACATCCACATTCGCAATTTAGAGCTTTTCGTAGGCTGAAAAAATTTTCGACTATGTGGCGTTCGATCGAAAGGTGTTAATGATACTGAATGAGAAAAAGAGGTCAAGTGTCATCTGAGATTGATTCCAGATTGGCTGGCAACGCTTCTGGATTTCCTTTTCTTCCGCCCGCGCGCCCGGCGACAGCAGTGCACTTAGATCGGGGCCAATACATTCATTGTCTTGCATTTCATTTCAATTGTTCATGCAGTGGCAGTCACGTTCTGTTCTGCTTAACAAAACGATCAAGGTAAAACACTTAGAGCCCAGCCACTTACAGCAACCCACCAAAATGGAGATGAAAGGGTTTGACTTGACCTAAAGGGTAAACATTTATTAAGAACTAACCAACTCGAAAATTGTACTCACAACGAAGATTGCTCTCAACGAGGCCCACACAAAAAATGATGAAGAATAGCAATATCGACACAGAAGCGAAGCAGAGCTTCGCATCACTGGCGATACAAAACAAATACATAATAATAGCTAGGCGAAGGCCAACATTCAAAAAAATGCTCATAAACATCACCCAAAATATTCAAACACTTGTCTAGAAAAAAATCACTACGAAAAAAATCTTGTCGCAAAACATGATTGCCAGCATAAAATAAGCAGAATGACTAAATTTATAGAGTGGTTGTTAATTCTGCAGATAAAACTTAGGTGGGCGCCCGTTAAGCCCGGAAAAATGGCCATAAAAAACTTTCAAGCAACAATGATTTTATAAATTCCAAGTTTTATGTCCTCTTCGAAGCACATAAACGCAAACAAATCTAACAAACAAGCCGACACTATTTAAGCCGAAAAACCTTTAACGCGAAAAGGCAGAAATTACACAAAATCTTCATGCAACATTCAAAATTTCAGAAATGGCATTTTTGAACGTTTGAAATAGATAAGTTATCAAGAAAAAAGCGTGCTGAGAAAACTAAGCAGCTAACTCAAGTAGACATACAAGAGTCCGAAAAAGAGACAATGAAAAAGTAGAAAATTTGGACTTTTGAAAAAGTTTGGGTGAGATTTTTCAAAAATTCTGTGTACCATTACCTTGGATCAGTTTTCAAAACACTATCCAACATAAAGAGAAGTATGAAAATAAATTGCTAGAAAATGAGGCCAACAAAATAAAGACAATAAAAATTAACCACAAGCCGTGGGGCGAGAAAAAAACACCTATTTCAATTTTTTCTTCTTTAAATAAAGAACTAAATAAAGAAACCTATCTATACAAAATAGGAGAAAAAAGACAGGGGCATTACAAAACAAAATAAAAACTAAAAATTTTAAAGCAAAACTTCTATAAATATGAGCAGAACAAATCAGAATTTTTGAAAAAATATTTTCTGATCTGATAGCAACTAAGGTTTCTAAAATTGAGAGTACTGCTCAAGACTGTTATCGTTGAAACAAAGATAGGCTTGAAATATTTAAATCGATATAAAAATCAGTTGACAAAAATACTGATAAAACTACACCTAGAAAAATTGACATAACCTCATCATTTCAACTATCTTCACCAAGGACGAACTGAGAATACAGCATTCCAATCAAGTAGTATCGAGTAAAATTTTGAACGAAGTTACTTGTGTGAAAAAGAAAAGAAAGGAAAGAAAAAACATGTTTTTGAAGAGAGTCAGAGAAGTTGATTTCAAGCTTTCTAAAATAGATTATTAAAAGTGAATCAATTTCAAAAAAAAATTTTAAAAAGTAAGCGGAAAAACATAGTCGACTGATAGTTGGAAAAACTTCAACTTGCGAATTTTAAAGAAAAAATACTAGCGCTTAGAGCTCTTGGAATTTCAAAAACAGTTTTCTATTAAACCCAAATTGAGAAAACTGGATCAAAAGGTAAATTTAATCAATTTAATCAAATTGCATCAATATGTAAATTTTCGCTGGTTAATCTGATAATTAAATTCCATTTTCGAAAATAGAAGTCAATCACGTTTTTCCTGACGTTTGCATTTTTGATGATCGATAGTGGAGTTTCCCTTCCTTTCAAGAAAATAAATGAAAAAAACTTAAACAGAAATCAAATGTCAAACCGCGACAAATCACAATTGAGCTGGAACAAATTTTAGACTTTTTCCTGAAAAAAAAATCAGCCGACGCCTTCAAAATTGTTTTTAACAAAACAAATCAAACTCAGATACGGCAACATGTAAAGCCTTTGCTCAAAATGAGGCGGTCGGAATAAAGGATAGAAAACGAGAAAGATTTAAAACAATATATACATTTGGACAACATGCGAAACCAGAAGTTAAAAAAAAATTTAACACAATCATTATAGAAATTAAAACACCTGAATCCAATTTAGGAGGAATATTGAGAACATTATGGAAATTTTTGAAACAGGGGAAGCGGAGCTTCACGCCTCTTGCCATTAGAAATATCATTATCAGAAAATGAAATATTTTCAAGCGCTTTTCTGGTTCCTCGGAAATGGTGAAATCTTACTCTTCTAGCGAAACAAGCAATTAAAACCAAGTTTGAACAAGGAAGAACCAATCAAAAACGACAGCAAATCAAATCATTGCAAAACAACCGAAGAAAAGTTTTCTAACTCACATGATGCCTAATGATGTGTATTAACTAGCATATAAATTTCAAAATTGAAAATGGTCTCGATTATTAGAAAAACGGAAACAGAAGTTCCAAATATTGTTAAATTGAAATCATTATACGCAAAGAGTATATATAAAACACAATTTTTTCAGAGTTGACAATTTTCGCGGTGATCAGTGTTCCGTTGAAGTCATCACATGTCGGGGTGTGATTAATCACGATTTATGTAACGGAATTTTTTCTGCTTTACGATTGACTAAATTATCGGTTTTTTCTATTTCTCAGACATGCAAGTTTTAGTTTGAACAGATTATCATTTCTGTTTTGTGTTTCTGAGAAATAAAACTATCAAAAATATGCTACACGATAACTATTCATGTTTTCATTTTTTAAAGCTTTTCAAACTTTATGCTAGTCGAGCGGTCACCGAAGCCTACATTAGACGCGAGCAGATACCAGAGCGATGAAGATGTACCAGAAATTACAAAAACTATACCAGTTCAAAAGAGAGACAGATAGTTGAAAAATTTGAAAAACTGATCCAAAAACTTTTTAACATTTTATAATTAAATCATATCTCACACTTAAAACTTCGTAATTAATGAATTCTTTATGATTCAACCGACTAAACAGAAAAGAAAATCAGAGAACCTTTTTAAAAAGGTATTGCAATTTGTCTAGCTAGTTCTCAAATCAAACTACTCTAGATTCTCAAAAGTCTACTGTCGATTGCAACACGCTTGCTCACGCAATGTAATAAATCCAGGCACACTGTTCTACTGAAACTTTAGCAGACTCATACAAAAAATCGAAAAAACAATCAGCCGAAAGCAAAAAAAAACATTAGTTTTCATTTTTAAATTTGGATTTGCTCAGTATAAACATACAATGATCAAAGTCCTGGAAATCGCTTTCATGACAGTCGATCAATCATCATCGAGTTTCTTATTCGACAGCTTAATATTGTATAGCATGAAAACTGGGTCATATGAAAGGGTCATAAAAAAGCTGTTTGAACAAAAAAGCTTTCCGACTTTTCTTCAAACTGTTTTCATTTATTTCCCCAATGTTATATTGGGAAAAATGTAAAATTGGGATCATTTTGATGTTATCATATAATTCCCAAAATTTACGGCGTGGATTCAAACAAACTACCAATGGCTCACAAGGCAAAACATTAGCTTCACGCCAACTTGCATACATGCAATATGCACTTCGACTTTCGGACGTGTTTTTGCAAAAATTAACTAAGCTGCACAAAGTAATAACAATGCACTAAGTAGCAAATAAAAACATTCGTACAACTTTAAAATAAGACTGCTCGTATCAGGGCGAAGCCCTGAATGTTCCGACTGCCCATTAAGGTTTATGGAGCAGTAATATCATTAAAAAATTAAAAGTAACAAAACAAAATGAAAATTTTTTTTTCAAATGAAATTTTTTAAATAAAAATCATCCCCCCACGCCTTATAAAGTACAAAAGGATTATGGCAAATAAGCCTCGTTAAACCAATTTGGAACGATTTCTAAGACGGATTAACTCTCCGCTTTACGCGTTAATAGCGCGAAATATATCGCGCGTTAATTGTCCCAAATTGGCCAAAATGGCATTCTTTAAACCCCCATAATTTTACGAAAAATGATCACAGGTGAAATATCTTTTCAAATTTAAGCTCAGGACAACAATACTTTTCGAATGATATTTTAAAATTCCGTCAAAAATGGCTAGTTAAAAAGTCGAAATTTGTCTGAAGAAAAAAAACCCACCCCGAGCACAAATATTCCGTTACTTTCGTATCGAAAGTCGGAACAAAAATGAGCTGAATTCGCAAAAATTGTTTGACCACTTTTATGGCGGTTGGGGAATCTTCAAACTTAGCTCCAAGAACTATCAATCAGGGTTGCAAAAATACAGGCTCTGAGCATAAAAAACTTTTAAATACGTCTTGAACACATTAAACATATGAAGCTCAGAAAGTTAAGATTTCCTATAAAATCTACTCAGCAACCAGCCACTACGCAGTCTTTCAAATCCATAAGCCATGCACTAACCCAAAATCACTTCTAACATTTCATCATAACTATAAAATCTCAAAAATGTGCCAAACTATGTATTGAACGATCAAAAACTTTATCGAACTAGCATCTTGAGCCTGATAATACAAAAAAATTAAATCCAAAGAGCGTTAAATGTTTTAAATGCGAATTTCCCAAGTGTTCAGACCATGTTTTCAATCGTGACACTAAAAGAAGTTTACCGTTGCCCATAAAACACCTCTTCTCCCCACTTGCCTAAAAAACATTAAAAGCAAGATGACTTATGTCATCAACCATCAGATTTTTCATGATGGAAAAAATTTTGTCCCAAATTTTTATAGCAATCTAAATCACGACTAAATGAGCTTCAATGTTATATACTAATTGACTTTGTCCGACAATTTTTGTAGTTTCTGATTTAGTGTGAACCAAAACAAAACAGCCCAACTCATAGTTCATTCAAATTCTGTGATCGGAACACAATAAGTAAGGATGCATATTGTTAAAAAGTAATTTGAGGCAAAAATAAATAGAGATTCATATTGATTCAATTACTACACGTAAATTCTTTTAATTCCTATATACAGTAATTTTGTAGAGCTCAACTTACCTTGCAATATCTCAATGCGCGCTTCCTTGTTGGACACATTTTTTAGATTTTTGAAGATTAGTTTAGCGAAATCAGTGACTGCATTCATCCCATTCCCCTCCTCACTTTCTTGACGGGGGTCTCCGCTTCCAGTGCCCGCAGAAGAGGCTGAGGGCAGTTGGCATCCACTGCCAGAGGGGGGTCCTTGCTCGTAGATGACGATGTCTTGGCTGCCGTCGAACAGTAGTCGAGCCTCCAAGTACTCCTTAATCTGCAGTTTCCCATCCTAAACAATATTCCATGCAGATGATTAAAACTCTAATGAAAAAGGAACAACGCTTGAGGAAAAAAACAGAAAAAATCATGAGATCGACAATTGAAAAAAGAATTTTCGTAAGAAAAAAAACACTTCAAAATTTATCATAATTAGATGAAACTAACCATGGATAAAAAGTATATTACTGAAAAAGTGAATAGAGACTAGCATTTTTATTGGTAAAACATTATGACGCGATCGGAATGATATGATTTAAAACAATGTTTACTTCAAAAGTCGGGTGCTTTGCTGTACCTGAATGCGTTTTGAAACCAGAGGACAGTTTGTGAGGTTAATACTCTCTCTCACGTGACTCTCCTGGAACAGAAACATAGAGCGCAGATCAATGAGAACCAGTTTCCTATAACTTCCCCCTCCTGGCGATACTGGAGGCGACGGGGAGGAGGGGGAATTCGCAGGTTGTCCCACAGGAACAATCTCCATAGCAGTTGCGCTACTCCTACAGTGGAAGTCCCCACTATCAGCGCTACGACACATAGTACCGTCACCGACAGTGCCGGAAGGGAAGGAGGGAGGACCATCGGTTGAATCATAGGTGCTACAGAAGCCATCCTGTAGACGTCCGGCTAGCTCGTCTCCCGAAATGAAGTTGAGGTCGGTGGTTGAAGCAGCAGCTACATCATGTTTTGATCTACTGCTTGATTGTAATGTCAAAGCAGAACTCCCAAGAACCATCACTGCAACAGAAAACGGACACTTTAATACCAGTTAATCACAATATAAATCGAACATCATCTAGTTCGGCAGCTTAATAGTCGATTGCAACCAAAAATAGGCACAAGTTAACATTATTTATCGTTTGCGCTTGCGCATCAGCTTAATTTCTTTAAAACGACGTTACTTATTTCAGAGAGTCGACAAATACAGATGACAAGACTGCTAATCGGAACTCTTCCGATTATATAGACCGATTTGAAATATCCTACAAGAAATTTTTTAAAAACTGGAGAACCTAAAAATGTTCGACCTTACAAAACACGGAACGTCAAAAAAAGAAATCGCGAGTGCGGGGATCGAACCTGGGCCCACTGGATCGAAACGTGCAATCTCCAAAAATGAGCCCTAGTACATGTTCTTCTAAACTAAAAAATATTCGAACAAAATGTTTTATATTCCTCACCAATTATTTTAAAGTTTTAACCCAAATTTATTTCAAAATTCGGAATTGTCGAAGAAAGTTCTCGTTTGCAAGTCGTTTATCCGATGAAAACGTCGTTTTAGTCGGTGCAATTTCAGCAATTTGAAAACTGTTAACAAACCGCTCAAATGGATTCCATGCTAGAGACAACATCCAAGATAATCTTTGAGGTCATTGGTAAGGGTCAAAATAACATAAAAGTATCAAAAAATAACAAAATACATTAACTAATTCGAATTTTCGAAGCTGCAATCGCGAATCTATTCTATAATGAATGTTATTCTGATTCCATTCGTAAATACATACGAGAATAGAATTAAAACTCGTTCGATTACGTAATTCTTCCGTCATGTTTGTAATAGATTGTTTGCTAGACTAAAATACAATACTGTCAGCGTGCCATATGCTTTTATCTATCATCAGGCGACGAAATGTTTTAACTGTATTGCATGGTGAAAATGGTTAGAGGTCATTAAACGCACCGCTCTAATAGCATAACTGCGAACACAAACAACTTCGCTTGCGCAAATTCTCATCATGACTTATCCGACAAAAATCAATAGGCTAGCTGTTCAAATTTTTCAGACACCGCTGCTAACCCGATGTTTAAAAATTACATGCATTTTTAAGTAGTTTTTTTTATGGCTGGATAATGCTGCCTCACCCTCAAGCAAGGAGCACGGATCATCTGAGCCTCGAACGTCGAACCACCGCCCTTTCGATTGAGAGACGATAACTAGCCAGCTTACCAAAGTTACGTAAGTATGTTAACACATGGCAAAAATTAAAAAAAAAACAGAAATACTTGATTTACCATCATTTTTTTCTGGGTATTTTCAAAAATTATGTATCAAAATTAGTTTTTAAAGGTCGACTATTGGATCAGTCTGCTAGGTGCACGGATTCCTTCAGTTCATTCATTCACACATACTGGAGTTCATTCATATTTGTTCACATACATATATATTCATTTCCTGGCGCTATTTCAACCTACATACAAATTGTGCGGTTATCAACGAATATTTTCAAAACTTACGTCATTTTCGGCTTAATAGTCGTCTCTTCAAAGTTTAGATACATACAATCTTGTCTCGAATCGTCCAAGCATATCCTTCAATTTATTCATGCATTTATAATATATCCTTTTCAAAACTTAGCTCTATATTTAACAATCTAGTCACGAGCAGAGGCGTTCTTGTATTTATAATAATATATATATTTTAGGCGAATCACTAAAATAAAAAATCAAGTAGGACGAAAAAAATAACTAGAGATTACAAGCAAAAAAACAGAGCGAGTAGTTTCATAGTCACTTGGCGAATAACTCGAACGCAAAAATAACCTCTTTAACAAAAAATCCAGATTTGTGTTAGCTAAAATCATGTTCATTTTTGTTTGTTTAACGGTAACACTTGATTTCTAAATGCAGAGCACTTAGAGCACCACTTTACAGTAACTACACTATTTTCTACTATGTAATGTGAATTTAGTGTTCATACAATACCATGCATGCCCCAGCTAATCGTTCAATAATTCAACCATCAATACGAAAGACAGCCAAATTTCCTTGCGCAGAGCTGGATTCAGCCATCATTCATATTCATGTACACGCTAGATTTGCGGCTTGATTAATGATTATCCGGTTCAGCGCCTGTCCAATTTTTGTTCACATTTACCAATTTGAATGATAAGAATACACCAGTCAGTCCTCAATAATACCTTAATACTCAATTGAAAAAAAATGTTGGAACTGCAATCTGAATTAGCTTGTATTCTGGGTCTTACAACATGTTTGTACCTTCATTTTGCAAAATTAGGATAACGTAGACCAGGAGTCATTGTTACAAATAACGAAGTTGCCGTTCGCAAACACTTGCAAACAGTTGAATATAAAACAGCTAATAAGACTATTGATGAATTTGCTGAAACACATACACTAGTGGACAAAATTAAACGCAAATTTAGGCTTTTACTCTCAAAAATTCAACTCTAAGGACCATTTTGGACAATATTAACTTGAAATTTTGACAAAACTTGTAAATGGACCGGCAGCAAATGATCCGGGTCTGAAAATGCCAGTTTTCACCGTCTGCGCTAGGTTTTACATTTTACATCGTAGTGAACTCTTTCTCAAACCAGCGGAGTAAAAAAATTGTTCATGCGACATGAAACATTCTCAGCGAGAAAATTGAAAAAATCAGTTCGAAAACTTCACCAAACTCAGCTGTTTCATACATTTACACGCGAAATGAAAATTTTTTTGCAGATGATGAAAATTGGCATTTTCAGACCCGGAAAACACTGATAAACACTTCAAATGGTTAGTGCGGAAAAAAGGTACGCGTTAAACTTTAAAAGTTTTAAGAGTCTAAATTTTTAAGAGTTATAGACACTTTTCTCCACTCGTGTAATTACACTAGTGGACAAAATTAACCGCAAATTCAGGATTTTACTCTCTAAAATGCCTGTTTTCGAAGTCCATTTTGGAAAACACTTCTTTCGAAATTCAGTGAAATTTTTACATTGAACGAGAGCAAATGATCAGAGCTTCTCTTTCATCATTTGCCCATGTTTTGAATGACAACAAATTTAAATAATTAAATTTCCAAAAAGACAGGCTCCACAAAAAACTATAGAAAATTTACTCAAAAAAAGCAAAAAGAAAAAAACTGACAATCTTAAAACCAGAAATTTCAAAATTTACCCTGATATCGATGATGCGATTTTAAATAACTTATTTTAAACCGTTGGTAAAATGTAACATCTAGTACATATACTTTATGTTCAGCAAGTAAAATCCTCGGTGGTTTTTAGTTTCACAAATACTGCAGGATTGTACGAAACAATCTCAACAAGAAAAATCATGAAATAACTGAAAGCTAACTAAGTAACAACAAAACCAATTGCTGTTAAAGTAGCATAGAATGTACCAACTAAATTATTAATTTTCCGATTTTCGAAGAAAACGGAAGATTTATGCTTGGGGTGGTTTTTTATTCAATAAATTTTCGTCGATCGAAATAATAGTTTTTACACAGAGGCTAACTTGCACTTCGCACAAACAAGCAAAAATATGACCGATAACGCTACTGGGAAAACTGAATGAGTAGAACTCTGAGTCTATAAAATTTCTCAAGTGACGCAAGCCAATTATCACGTATTAGCAGTACCAGTCAATTATCACGTATTAGCAGTACCAGCCAATTATCACGTATTAGCAGTACCAATTAACATGCCTCAATTTATAGAGCGGACGCATTTTAACTAGTATACGAAAAAGTTCATTAAAAAGATCCGACCCTGCCCAGGTTCAAACTCTTTTATTCGAAACAAACATCACTAAAAAAGCCAATAAGGCAAACGGCATGATAGCAGTAATTAAGAAAAGCTTCACTAAAGTCACGATACAAGTATTTTTAAACATCTACAAATGCTTGATACGGCCACACCTTGAATTTGCGAACTTAATCTGGCACCCAAGACTGATGAAGCATCAAAAGATCTTAGAAAACGTACAAAGAACAGCGACGCGTCTAGTTAGTGGTATGAAAAATCTATCATATTACGAACGCCTTAAAGAACTGAATCTATCATCGCTGGAATACAGAAGGAAAAGAAGGACAATGATAGAAATGTATAAAATCTGCTATGGTTTGTATGATAGGAATGCCACTGCGGGACTATTCGAGCGGAATGATAGGGATTCTAGAGGTAACGCATGTAAAGTAGTAGTACGTAAAGCAAATCTAGAAATGCGAAAAAATTTCTTCACGATTAGAGCACCTCTCGACTGGAACAATCTGCCACAGGAAACAGTGCAAAGCAAGACCATCGACGAATTCAAGTGGAAACTGGACAAACATTGGAAAGCGATTGGAATCGACATGTACGAATTCGAACGGAGATAGGAACAAAAAACATTTGAAATGACCACAAGAGGCACTGCCTAATGGTCATAAAAACTTGAATTGACTTGACTTGAAACTTATGACGAAAATAAGGCAAAATCGACTAAACAAAAACTAGGCTTCATTCTTAAATAGATATTTATTTCTCTCCCACAAGACTTACTTGACCGCGTTAATAGATGAAATAACAATTTCAAACCGATTTTTCTTGACCCTGAAATTACTTTATTTTCAATCGGAATCGCTTTTTGCCGCGTCGCCTGACTTTTCAGAATTCTGTCTTTTATCTCTCCAGATCCACCCCCTCCTCCCTATCCGCCAACCTAGCTAAACTTTTTGTTCAAGTTGTCTGATTGTTTCGGTTTATTTAAGCATGCAGTTTATTTGGGCCATGACAAACATATTTGTTCTTAATACTTGACCTTGTAAAGCCCTCTTTTAGTTGCCTTTTGAGCGCAGGGGAAAAATAGCCATAGTTCTATTAGACTGAAGCAATCTTCATAAAATTAGTATTAATATGAAAACCAAACCAATTGATTATTTTAAAACAATAGATGATTGCAAAATTATTATTTGTTTTATTAGATCTGAGGATGCGCTAAACTAAACTTCGAAAACTAGTTAAACACACCTAAAAGTAAAAGAATAATTTTTTATAGAGCTGAATAAAGCTTATTAATGAGTTTTTCGCGCGCTTTACTTTCTAAAAATTAGACAAAAATCAAAAACTTTTGACCGATTTTTCTCAACACCCAGAAAACTTTTTGTAAAGTTTTCAAGATCCCGGGACTTAAAAAAGTAAAAAAAATCTTAAGCACACTTGAAGGCTAAGAAATCATCAATTGATGCTTTAAAAAAATCCACGGTTTGGAATGTAAGCCAACAAACACGAGTAGACAAAACATCAAGTTCCACACACCGACAAATAATCGAAGCCCGGCTCGGACTCAAACCCAAGACCTTATATTCAAAAGGCGCGGTCTTTAACAAAAGACAAGTCATAGGGCCTGAAAAATGTCCAGATTCCATAAGGAAACAAGTGTAGATAGAGTCTAGGTCAGCGGAGAGAGAAGATAGAGTTTTGATAGTTATGCCTTGGGTGAAGACATTGAAGTCGTCCGCGTTAGATATAATGGATATACTTTCGGGCAGAGAAGGGGAATCGTGGACATAGTAGTTGCAAAATGTTGAGGATATAACTGAGCCTCGAAGGACTCCACTGCAGACTATTGCAGTGAGGATTTAGCAAATTTATCAATGAGCGTGTGGTTCATATAATCGAAGGCTTTCGATAAATCTAAGGCTGCAAGAAGCAAGAAGCCATGCGAAATTAAATTGTAGCGAGATTAGGACCCTGTTGGTGGAGTGCAGGGGTCAAAAGCCGTGTTGCTGTGACTAGGTTTTAAGGTAATTATTAAGAATAACGGGGCTAAATAAGGAAATATGACGATAGGATTTGGAAAGCGTGGGGTCTTTCAGGGGCTAGACGAGAAGTAAGGTGGCTGTTATCCAAATGGATGGAATTTGCGAAGAGCGTAAACTAAGGTCTATGATATTTGTGAGATAGTCTAGCACTGTTTCATGGGGACGTTTCAATTGAATTATTGTAATTCTATTGTAATTCCATGGGTACCGAAAGCTCGAGACGCGCAGTTTTTATGCGTTTTTCCACTTCAGCATAAAACTGAGGCGCATCTATTAAGGGAGAGGCGTATAGCGTTTCTCTTAATCTTAAGGCTCCGTTTGGAGGTATTGTTTATGTTAACGCGGGTCAGTTGAACTTTTAATGCGTTTGCTATTGAGGGTCTGATGAGGGACTAGAAATTGAAAAAAATGTTGCAGTTTGAGTTTTTAACTCAGCCTGCTGATGAAATCTAACTTTTTGAAAGAACAATAACAGAAGCTAAGTGGAAAGATATTTGATGTTAAAATGTTGGCAATATATACAAGCCGAAAAACTTTTTGAAGATTTTTCACAAATGAAATTCGTAGAAAAAAAATATGAAGCCATCAACTTTTATCAATTTCCAAAATCTTTCAAGCTGAGTTTTTTGTTGAAAACATCCTATAGGGACATCGGGATCAATTGGTTGTTTTTTATTTTGCTTGAAATTAAAGCATGTGTAATAACTTTTTCCTCACATGGTCGATTCCCTTTTTTTAAAACTTCAGTTTCAATCGCCAATTTCAAGTCAGTAAGTTCTGATTCATTAGTATCGCCACTTAAACCTCTAGTGCACTAAAGAAATGCTGGCCCGTTCATACGCTGGCCCCCTTCATGATACATCTTTATGTCTCTGTTTGCGTCGGCTAGCTTTTTTATTCAAATTTTCGGCTCTTTTCCAGTTTCCCAGCCCTAGTAAAATTACAGAATTAAGTTGTTCAAAATTTTGCATGAAAGCAATGATGTAAGATTTTGTTCACCGGTTCATGCTTATACGTTTTGATGCATTTACAGAAACTTTGATGCTTAGAATTTCAGAAAAAATCAATGGAGGATCTGGAAAAGAGCCTATATTTTAGAGAATACAGATATTTAAGACATCGACTTACCGCAAACACCACACACAAAAACATATTTTTTCTAAAATAAAATTGACGTTTTAAATGGAGTGAAAGACAAATAAAGATGCATAAATTAGGAGAACAATTTACAAATTACGCTTAAAATTTAAAAATTTTCTGGGTGCTTTGTACTTTTAACTAGTTTCTTAAATTCAAACTTTCGACTTTGGAACTATAGCTTGTGTCAGCTCCCTGCTTCTAAGATCCTCGCGTGAATTGACTCCTCATTTAATAATCGGTCAGAAATTACAGTGACAGAGCGTAGAAAAGGTCCCTATTGACGACTGACTGACGTCAGTTACCTTAATTCTACTCGTTTTTTACCGTCTCGACCTAGCCAGTTAACTTTCTGATTAGTTTAAGGGCTAATTATCATTACGCCGTTTTTAGGCCATCAGCCAAACGACTTTTAATCAGCTTTCGTAAAGTTGCAAAAAATATTATAGCTGGGTCTCGGATCCCCAGTCAACGTGATTTTTGTAAAAAACAGGGCTAGATACCATAACTAAACATCTTTTTAATGAGTTATATATGAGCTCCATTAGAGATGGATTGAACCTTTGAAGGGATATTTGATAAAGATGTAACAGTCGCCTACTTTAGTCACATATGAGGCTTAAGAAAAATAGGCCCTATAACCATTGGCTCAAGAGTCAGGGACACTATCTCTTGTGTTTTTCTACCTCAAGAACGGTCGGAGCCAATTCGGTTCGCTTGCGACATGAGACTAGAACCCGTTACAGCTTAAAGGCCACTACCAAAATACCCCCCACTCTAGAAATAAGAACGTCCCCATACTTAGGTCTCGAAATACCCAAAATACATGAACGCCGTTAAAAACCGGGTCGGAACAATCCGCTTAGTTACTTTTTATTGGACAGTGGAACTTTGATCCATTACAGATGGATCAACCTAAAACTCGCCTTATCTCAACATAACTATCATAAAATACACTCGAGAAATTTAAATTGAGAACTCACATGTCGATGCGCTTGAGTATGAGGAGTAATTAAAAGACAAGCAGCTTGAGAATTAAATAATACAACTAAATAAGTTTGATGCTAATTAGTTTTAACAACAGAAGTAAGTTCTGTCTCAAGAATCAAAGTTTCTGAATGAACCATCGGGACACTCGAGTTGTCCTCTCTTCCATTGAATGTTCACTCTGTTCCGTTCGAATAATCGTCCTTTCTCAAGTCTGTGTTCTATTCTCCTGTTTTCGGGATAAGACAGCTCTACTCTCTTATTATTTCGTATCGAGAATTTGCGAACAGCAATTTCCTGCCTTTTTCCTGAGTAGTTTCCCGCAATTGTTAATTCGGTCGTTCTGATTTTTCTTTTTGCGTTTTCAGTTGGTTCGAGAAAACTGAGCATGACAGGCTCCATTCGAAATTTTTAAAATTAAAACTTCACTCCATAATTACGTGTTTCTCAAGGTGAAACCTCCAGACATGACCGACTGGCACAAGAGTAAACTCCAAACGTTTTTGCAACTATGTGCATCCTCAGGATTTTTACAATAAACTAATTTAAATGTCGATAAAACATCAATTTACAAAAATTATTTACAATAATTCACATAAATTTTGGTTAAAACCATGATGTTAAAAATGTGTCAATCACCGTTGACTTCTAAAAATACTAATTAAAATAACCAAACTTTTAACCTCTTAAATTAATTAAACAATTTATAATTAATATGTCTGGAAGTTTCTGAGTCATAATTTTGATTGTGACATACGTTTTGAATCAAAAACCGAAAAATATTTTGAGAATATTTTCAGTGTTAACTCCCTGGTCCTAAACTCATCGCGCGTGTTACAGTTTTCTCTTTTCTGATATATTTCGCCTCTAGTGTTAAGTTTTGTTTGGTTGTTTGACGTAACTACAATTTGCCAACTAAGATCTGCGCTATTTCCTTCAAGACTACATTGCTGAAGGTGAAGGCCTACCGGTGAGTCTGCTTTCTTATGTTCCCCGATTCTATTGGTCTTATGTCGAACTGTGTGTCCGACATAGGTGGAAATAAACCACTACATGTCAATTTATTAACCACTCTTGTTTTGCGGTCATTAGCAAATGCTGATTTCAGTGATGGTAAACATGATTCTAGCTTTCCTGTGGTGAAAACCACTTGAACATTGGTTAAATTTTGCAACCTTGTGCCATTTGGTCATATTTGGAAAATTGACCTTGAGAAAACGTTTAGTCTTGATTTTGGGGTGAAACGTAATTTTTCAAAAAATCGAATTGAGCATGTCATGCTCAAGTTTCTCGCGACAACTGAAAATATCAGAAAATAAGATCAGAAGATTCGAACTACAATCGCGGGAAAATCGTCAAAAAATAGCAGTTGGAAATTGCTAATCGCAATTTCCGATACATAATTCGAACGAGAGTAGAGCTGTCTTGTTCTTGGCAGAAGACAGAAAGTAATCGCGAGTGGAGGGAGTGTAAATTCGAGTGGACCAGAAAAAACCTTCGGTGGAAAGGTGGACAACCGAAATTGCCCAATGGTCCAGACCCAAATCTTATTTCCTGAGCAGAAATTTATTCATTACAAACTTTTCGAGTTAAACTTAATTACCCAATCAATTCTAGAGTTGCTTTATAGTTTAGTTACTCAATTCTAGAGTTTGTGTTGGTATGTGAGTGCCTAATTTAATTTTTTTGAGTCTGTTTTATATTGTTATGTTGAGTTAGGGATAATTTTTAGATTGATCCATCTGAAATGGATAAGGTCCACTGTCAAATAAAAAAAAACTATACAAAAGAATCCAACCCTATTCTTAACGGCGTTCGCGTGTTTTAGGTATTTTAAGACCTTTGTATGGGGGCGTTCTTATTTTCTAGATTGGGGACATCAAGACTACGGGAACAAACCCACTTGACACAGTTCTGGGCTACATGCCCAATCTAGAGTACCGATGGTGCGGTTCAACGGGAACAGGTTCACCTAGCTTTTTAAGAAAATTTGAGAAACCGGTGCGTTTTCCGAAACGAGGCCTACCCACAGTTTTGAGGAAATTTTTTTACTTGAGCAGAGCTTGGAAACAAGTTCTACGTTTTTCTCTCGAGAGGTTTAGCACCCATCGCTCTTAGGGTAATTTTCAGCTTAAGTGTGGGGCTAGACAGGGTGAAGGTTAGAAGGGGGCTGGTTAAGATAGAGGTTGGTGGTTGAAAAGTGTAAAAAAGCGGACACATTATAGTAATTACACAATCGATATCGTCGATTTAGTTACCTTAGTAGACCCAGAGTCTGAAACGATCCATCTTTAGACTCAGAACAAGAGTTAAAACGCGAGGATATCCAATTTTAAGATCGAATCAAGGTAGGTAACCTGGTCGGATTGGGTGGGGGGGGGGGGGGGGTCGGAAATAGACGGTTTTTGGAATCCAAAAGGAGAATACCCATTAAGATCGTTAGTAGGGGGGAGGAAAAACGCGTGGCAATCAAGTACAAGACATTTTTTTACGAAAAGACCACATTAGTCGCCTCTGAATTTTGAGCGTACTTACCATTTTTAAAAACTTTTTTCTCATTTTTCTCAGTTAAAATTTTACGCTTCCTGATCAATTTTAATTGGCTTTTAACGAGTTGGAAATCATAAGGCACTTGCTAACAAGTCGTATTCCCAACACTAAGGAACAGGAGATCCGACTGTCCCAACAATAAGGAACAAGAGATCCCATTGTCCCAACACTCGAGCGAAGTCTCCTAGGAGGGTTCAGAGAAGACCTGGGACAGTACGAAGTGTCCCAACACTCGAGCGAAGTCTCCTAGGAGGGTTCAGAAAAGTCCTGGGACAGTACGAAGTGTCCCAACACTCAAGCGAAGTCTCCTAGGAGGGTTCAGAAAAGTCCTGGGACAGTACCAAGTGTCCCAACACTTGAGCGAAGGGTCCTAGGAGGGTTCAGAAAAGTCCTGGGATAGTAACGAAGTGTCCCAAAACTCAAGCGAAGTCTCCTAGGAGGGTTCAGAAAAGTTCAGGGACAGTACGAAATGTCCCAACACTCCAGCGAAGGATCCTGGGAGAGTTCAGAAAAATCTTGGGACAGCAACGAAGTGTACCAACACTTGATCGAAGGGTCCTAGGAGTTTTTAGAAAACTCTTGGGACAGTAACTTAGTGTCCCAAACAGAACACTATGGTTCCTAGGAGGGTATATAAAAGTACTAGGACCGCACCAAAGTGTACCACGACCCCATCGAAGTATCCCAACACTTGGGCGAAGGGTCCTAGGAGAGTACCAAGAAATCCTGGGAAAGTATTAAAGTATCCCAAAACAAGAACAACAGGTCCTAATGACTGAAATTGATTTACATTTAAAACTAATTTAGACTAATTCGATTTGTTTTAGTTTTTAATACATTAGGAAATTTTGTTATAATTTCAATAAGATTTTACAGTAGGGACTTGTAAATAAAAAATTTGTAGATAAAGGAAATTGTTTATTTAGAAATAGGGTATCGATAACTGAAAGAAGAGGAACAGGACTTAAGCAAAACCAAACCTCGTCACAACTGAGACTAACACCATCACATCCGAAAGTCAAAAAAAAACATTTCAGTGAACATGGTCAAAACAAGAAGCATAAAAGAACATCAGGACAAGGAGAAAGCAACGGAAGAACAGACTTTGCCGGCTAGAGAAGACGATCTTGGGACACGAAATCAGAGTATTGACGGGGTGGAAACGAAAACGACTGAATCAACACCAATGTTAAATGCAGAAAAACAAGAAAAGAAAACGAGTTCTCACCGCTTGACAATGCAGACGAAACAACAAGCAACACGCCGAAAACGATAAAAGACGATTCTCAAACAAAAAGAACGTCGTTCACAGAGAGGATTGCAGCGATGGTCGGGATGAAAACAAAAGATAAAGAAGAAGTTATGCAGACGACCGAGAAATGCAAAACGTTTGGAACAGTTTCCGCAATTACATCAGAAACCAAATAAGACGAAGAGCAGGTCACACATGGAGCAACGGCTAACCAAGAAAAACAATTTCGCT